GACATCCTTCAGCAGAAGCGAGACAACAGATGTAGAGAGAACACAGACCATCATTAGAACAGTGGACACTGTCACAGGCACAAGTCACCTTCCTACAGATGAGCCTGCCACTGATGCCCTTTGAATCTGAACCCCTCAGGTTTATCTAATAATCTAAGAATGTCTCCCATGGTCTCTTAGCTCCAAAGCCACCTGACAGTAGTTAACAATTTTTTACTTTATCATGGTGAATATACAAGAAAGGTACCACTTTAACCATCCTTAAGTGTAGAGTTCAGTGGCATTAATTACAGGCACAATGTTCTGCAGCCATGACTATAATTTCTAACACTTCTTCCTTTCCCCAGTAAATACTAATTTTTATTATTTGTGGGATGAATTCTAGTAGAGGATGGGTTTGCTATTTTGTGCTCCCTTATCATTTGCAATGGAAAAGGCAGGTTATGATTACTGTATGTTTCTGGCCATCCTGCTCCAATATTAGTAAAAAATAGATGAAGATGGGGGAGGTTGGAGTGGGGAACACCTAGTGGAAGGAACTAGGGTGTCAGTTCTACACATATATGTGAACATCCTTGCATGGTCCTCAGGTCAGCCTGTCCAAACATAGCATGCAGAAGCCGGACCCGGAGCTGGAGCGACTCACAAACCCCAGGCTCTGGTGGCCAGCTGAGAAGTGGTGAATCTCCCTCCTTAGTCCCTGGCTACCGAGGGCATTCCCAACAGGCCACGCCAACACCAGGCCAGCCTAGTTTGCCATTGTGGGCAGGACTCCTCACCTCAGCCATTTTTGTCCATTTTCAAAACCGAACAAAACACCCAGGGCTCCAAATGCTGGGACAGCTTAGGCCTGAGGTGAAAAGGCCAGAGGGCATGGGCCTGAAGGAGACGCACAGGCACACGCCCCCCACGTACTCCATCACTACTTCTCCCTCTGGCTTTCCTCTTCCCCGGGGGGCCATGTGGAATAGGACGGGGAAACTCAGCCTCTTACTTTTCCTTTGGAAGGGGATGGAGATGAGTGTGAATGGATCCATTACTCAATTACTAGAGGTTACTCCATAAAAGATGACTCCTGTTCCTCAAAAAACTAAAAATAGAAATATTCATCCCAGTAATTCCACCTCTAGGAATTTACCCAAAGAAAACAAAATCCCAATTTAAAAAGACATATGCACACCTATGTTTATCGCTGTATTTTTTACAAAAGCCAAGATATGGAAGCAACCCAAGTGTCCGTCAATAGATGACTGGGTAAAGAAGCTGTGGTACATATACACAATGGAATACTATTCAATCATAAGAAGAAAATAAATCCATTTGCAATAACATGGATGGATCTAGAGGGTATTATGTTTAGTGATATAAGTCAGGTGGAGAAAGCCAAATACCATATGATTTCACTTATTTGTGGAATATAAAAACAAAGCAAAGCAGAATGGACAAAACAGCAGTAGACTCACAGACACTGAGAAGTGACTAGTGGTTACCACGAAGGAAGGGTTGGGGTGGGTGGGTGGGGAGAATGAGGGGGATAAAGGGGCACAAAAATTCTCAATCATAATATAAGTTGGTCACAGGGATGGCAGTAGAGCATGGAGAATACAGTAAATGAATCTGCAACATCTTCCTATAGTGACAGATAATAACTACACGGGAGAGAGTGAAGATCTAATAATATGGGGAACTGTTGAACCTCTGTGTTGTATATTTTGAACCAATATAAGATTGTATGTCAATAATACTCAAAAAAAAAATAAGTAATTTCCAAAGTTTGGCATAAAAAGGCCTAAGATAAAATGGAGCATATGCATAAAATGGGAAATTATTCAGCCTTAGAAAGGAAGGAAATTCTGACACATGGTACAACATGGATGAAACTTGAACACAGTGTGCTGAGTGAAAAAAGCCAGTCACAAAAGGACAAATGCTAGATGCTTCCACTTATGTGAAGTAGTCAAATTTATAGAGACAAAAAGTATATGGCGGTTGCCAGAGGCTGGAAGACAGAAATGGAGAGTTAAGTGTTTAATGGGGACAGTTTCAGTTTGGGAAGATGAAAAGGCAGTGGAGATGGATGGTGAGGGTGGTTGCACAAGAATGTGAATGTATTTGATGCCACTGAGCTATACACTTAAAAGTCATTAAAATGGTAAATTTCATGTTATATATATTTTACCTCAATTAAAAGAAATAGTCCAAGTGGCAGAATATAGATGAGTAGTTGCCAGGGGTTGGGAGAAGGGGAAATGGGGAATGATTGCTAATGGGTATGGGATTTCCTTTACTGATGATGAAATGTTCAAAGATTATACTGTGGTGATGGTTGCAAAATTCTGTAAATATGCTCAAAACCACATAATTTAAATGGGTGAATTATACAGTGTGAATTGTATCTCAACAAAACTGTTAAAAGAATATTCCAAGTTGGACATCTTAGGAACTACGTTAACAGATTCTCTTTATTCATTTGCCTTACTTCTCTCTCCTTCCCTCATTTGAACATTCCTGGCCTTCATTTATTTGAACATTTTCAAGCACATACAATATGCCTTCCCCTCTTCACATCTAGCATTGTTGAGTATTCTGCTAACTTTGAATGCCCTTCAAGGAGCAGGGGAAAGGAAAGGCTTTTAATTTTAAGGTCAGTCTGGAATAAATGGTGTTTTTGTAAAGTGGTGTAACAATATTGCCCAATAAAATAAGATCAAAAGGTTTACTCTGCCCTATCAGAAAGAAAAGTTGAAAATCACAGACTTACAGACCTTACCAAAAATCTTGAAGAAAGCTGAAAACTTCAGTCACAGACTGGGCTGTCAGCTCTACACACAGGACCTGAGCCATTCAGCATGTGGTCTGTTCTCCTTTCATTTTCCTGCAGTACAACTTCTGAAAGGTCCCTTGCAACTTGGGAGCATTAAGAGCAGCCCTTGATGAAGAACAATGAGGATGACCTCCCCAGGGTCATGTGACTGCCTTTCTGGAGAACCCATTTCAGGAAACACACTCACAAACACACCCAGAAATAATGTTTAACCAGATTATCTGGGCATTCCATGGCCTAGTTAAGTTACGTAAAATTAACCATCACACCCAGCTTTGCAGAAAGTATACCTGGTACTATTTTCATCAGGATGATTCTAGCAGTTCTGAGTGAGATGGCCAAGAATTTATAGGTTTGGAAGACACTCATGAGAGAAATTCAAGAAGATACCAATAAATGGAAACACATCCCTTGTTCATGGATAGGAAGAATTAATATTGTCAAAATGGCCATCCTGCCTAAAGCAATCTACAGATTCAATGCAATCCCTATCAAAATACCAACAGCATTCTTCAATGAACTAGAGAAAATCATTCTAAAATTCATATGGAACCACAAAAGACCCCCAATAACCAAAGCAATCCTGAGGAGGAATAAAGCTGGGGGGATTATGCTCCCCAACTTCAAGCTCTACTACAAAGCCACAGTAATCAAGACAGTTTGGTACTGGCACAAGAACAGACCCATAGATCAATGGAACAGACTAGAGAGCCCTGCTATAAACCCAACCATATATGGTCAATTACTATATGCTAAAGGAGTCATGAACATACAATGGGGAAATGACAGCCTCTTCAAGAGCTGGTGTTGGCAAAACTGGACATCTACATGCAAGAGAATGAAACTGGATTATTGTTTAACCCCATACACAAAAGTAAACTTGAAATAGATCAAAGACCTGAATGTAAGTCATGAAACCATAAACTCTTAGAAGACAACATAGGCAAAAATTTCCTGAATATAAACATGGGCAACTTCTTCCTGAACGCATCTTCTTGTGCAAGGGAAACAAAGTAAAAATGAACAAGTGGGACTACATCAAACTGAAAAGCTTCTGTATAGCAAAGGACACCACCAGCAGAACAAAAAGGCATCCTACAGTATGGGAGAATATATTTGTAAACAACATATCCAACAAGAGGTTAGCATCCAAAATATGTAAAGAACTCACACGCCTCAACACCCAAAAAGCAAATAACCTGAATAAAAATGGTTGGAGGATATGAAGAGACAGTGCTCCAAAGAAGAAATTCAGACCCGTGAAAAGATGTTCCACATCACTAATCATGAGGGAAATACAAATTAAAACCACAATGAGATATCACCTCACACCAGTTAGGATGGCTACCATCCAAAAGACTAAGAACAATAAATGCTGGCGAGGATGCAGAGAAAGGGGAATCCTCCTACACTGCTGGTGGGAATGTAAATTAGTTCAACCATTGTGGAAAGCAATATGGAGGTTCCTCAAAAAACTAAAAATATAAATACCATTTGACCTGGGAATCCCACTACTTGGAATTTACCCAAGGAATACACGTTCTCAGATTCAAAAAGACATATGCACCCCTATGTTTATTGCAGCACTATTTACAAATAGCCAAGATATGGAAGCAACCTAAGTGTCCATCAGTATATGAATGGATAAAGAAGATGTGCTATGTATACACGATGGAATACTATTCAGCCATAAGAAAGAAACAAATCCTACCATTTGCAATAACATGGATGGAGCTGGAGGACATGATACTCAGTGAAATAAGTCAGGCAGAGAAAGACAAGTGCCAAATGATTTCCCTCATTTATGGAGTATAATAACGAAGAAAGACTGAAGGAACAAAACAGCAGCAGACACGTAGACTCCAAGAAGGGACTAGTAGTTACCAAAGGGGAGGGGTGTGGGAGGGCAGGTGGGGAGGGAGGGAGAAGGGGATTGAGGGGTATTATGTTTAGTCCAGATGGTGTGGGGGATCACGGGGAGAACAGTGTAGCACAGAGAAGGCAAATAGTGAACCTGTGGCATTTTACTACACTGACGAACAGTGACTGCAATGGGGTATGGGTGGGGACTTGATAATATGGTTAAATGTAGTAACCACATTGTTTTTTCATGTGAAACCTTCATAAGAGTGTATATCAATAATACCTTTATAAGAAAAAGACTGTTAATGTAGGCTTCTTAGCTTTCTTAATACTGGGTGACATCTTGTTAAAAAAACATTTTTTTGAGTAGACTTTCAAATATCCCATCCCTAGTTGTGATTGATTACAAATTCTTTCCTCCCTGCATGTTTATCCTTTGTGATTTTGCAGCTTGTTCCATCAAGAGGGGGTCTATTTCCCTACACCTCAAATCTGGGTTTGGCTTTGACTAATGTGACATTAGAAAGCATGATACGAGAAGAGACCTGAAGATTGCCTGTGCATTGGGACTTGCCGTCTCTCGCTGCTCTTGGGAACCTTGTGACCATCACCATGTGGGTAAGCTCAAGCTAGATCACTGGATGACTAGAGACATGTGGCTGAGTTGTCTTTATCATCCCCAGACGACAGAGATGTCAGTGAGGCCTCCCTACATCATTCAACCCTTGCTGAGCCAGCCCAGAACAAATTTGTTCAGCCAATCCATAGAATTTTTGAGAAATTTTTTAAAAAGTTTATTGTTTTACACCACTGTGTTGGGAGTGTTTTGTTACACAGCAAATGCTAACCAATACACAAATATTCAGGATCTTCTTAAGAAGGCTTATGTAATTAAAAAAATAATGTATCAAGTTTATTAGAAACTGGTTTACTGTAGTAACAGGATTCTTGCATCATTTTCAGAAAACCAGAAGTCTATCAATTGCTTATTGCTGCATGAAGACTTGTCCGGTATTGACCCTCTGAGGACAGAAATGAGCCACATGCTCAAAGGAAGAGAATAGAAGTCCTGATCACAGGAGAGTGGAACTGTTACCTCATAGGGCCTCAGCACTAACCTCCTTCAAGCCTGCAGATGGCTGGTGAGTAGTAGTTTCTTAGAAGGCCCCTTGTGGTATCTTGGCTTCAGTGTCTTCTGATGAAGCAGATGGATACTTCCCTGAATGCCTATAAGGCCACATCACAAGTTATTAACTGGAAGAGAAGCATAAGCTTTATCCAGTGAGTGAATATAAACTCTGCCCAAACCACATGTGATGGAAACACATGGGTCAAGAGGGCTAGTTGTCCAGCTGTCCCCCTCACTGCCTGGAAATGCTTAGGTTGTCAGAGAGTGATTTGGATGTTGGCCCCACCATTCTGACATAGGGTAGCAGGCTGACAGGGCCGTCAGCCATTAGCAGGTTTGAATAGGAAGCATATGCCATTTTAGCCACAAATAAGCAAACATGTATACACTGAAAATTAGTTGCTATCATTTTTGGAATTAGTTTCTATCAAATCAAACCATTTCAGGTTTATTAAGTACTTACTACATATAGACTGATTCTGTGTAGGTGGTAGGAGTGAAGGGGTCCGCCTGATTCCAAGGCTCCTATATTTGGACAATCTGGCATTTTAGGAGGAAACAATACAATTTGGCAGAAAGGGATGCAGTGGTGAAAAGTTCTTGAAACAAGCCTTTCTCTTCTATTTCTGCATGATGTAGGGTTTACTGCTGAGGGTTTGAGAATGACTGCTTATGGCTGAATAAGACAAAATTAAAGCAGTAGAGACAGTAATTGCACTTACTTTGGGAAATGATGAAGGGCGATATGTGGGGGCAGCCGGAAGTGAGTGGCCTCGGGTAGCTCAGGCCACTTCTCTGCTCTGGTGTTGCCATCTCTAAAATGGGGTGAGCAACACAGGAAACAATGCAAATAAAAGTTCTTTGTAAAGCATGAAGCATTTTATTTATAAAAGGCAATATGTGCACATGGTAAAATCAGTTTTCAAACAGTGCAAAAGGTATATGGTAAATAAGGTTTCCTTCTTCTTAGTACCTTAGGATCAGTTTTGTGTGTCCCATCTAGAGAGATTCTAGATGTATGGATATATACAAAACAAAAAACATAAATAAAATATATTCACACATACTTTCCTTTTGTTTCAAATAGTTGTATACTGCACAAGATGTATTTATTGTTTTATTTTTAAGTTATTGTTTGATTTTTTATTTATTGTTTTATTATATTTATTTTATTTTATTTTAAAATTTTCTCCTTTTTGGTTTAACAAGTCTCTCCCCACCCCCAACTTTATTGGTATAATTAACAAATAAAATTGTATGTATTTATACAACATGATTTGATATATGTACACATTTGTGAAATGACTACAATCCAGTGTATTAACACATCCACCACCTCACTTAGTTACCTTTTTCTTTCCTTTTTTTTAACAATAGGTCCTAATGATCCTTTGGATCAATGCAAAAATTTACCTCTCGTTGAAGAGCTGAGAATATTCCATCCTCTGCTGCTTATGGAACACCTCACAAGGCATTTACCTGCTCCCTGTCAATGAAGTTTGTATTCTTTGTTCAAACAACACTGCACTGATTACCCTTCTGCATTCATCTTTTCACCCTGGTTTGGCCAAAGGAAAGATGTAGTTTCAGTTTTGATAGGCACTGCCAACTTGTCCCCTGTAGATGGTGAGCTTTACAATGATCACTTCTCTCTCTAATCAAGAAACAGGCAATTGGTGGTGCCAGCACACTGGAGCCTTGCATTTGATGCCACCAGGGAGAGAAGTTGATTTTTCCAAGAGAACCAGCTGAAGCTGCTATTTCATATAGCAAAGAGGGTTAGAGTCCAGATGTTGGAGATGGCCTGCTGGGTTCACACCCCAGCTCTTCCTTATGCAAAATGACTTAACTTCTCTGTGACTCAGTCTCCCCACCTGTCAAATGGGAATAATAATCCTATCTACTTCATAGGGTTATGCAGGTTTTCTCAACCAACTGTGGCACTACTGACATTTGGGGCTAGATAATTCTTTGTTGAAGGGACAGTCCTATGCGGGGTAGGGTGTTAAGGCATCCCCAGCTCCTACCCACATGATGCCAGTAGCATTTCCCCTTCAGTAGTGACAGCCAAAAATGTCTCTAGACATTGCCCAATGTCCCCTGGTGGGTGGGGGCGGGACAAAACTCTTCCCTTCCACTGAGAATCAGTGGGGTATTGAGGATTAACTGAGTTATTATGTAGATGGCACTCTGAATGGAGGTGGCACCCAGTGAGTGCTACGTAAGAGTTTGCGGTTAATACCATCATTATCGTCCTCTAGTCCTAGCCTACCCTACGAAAAATAAGTAGTTTTGATAATATGCAGGCTGAAGTAAGACAGTATTGTTAAGCCCATACTGGAGTCCACTCTGGAACAAGAATCCAAGTCCCTATTCTAAGATCATGGTTCGGCAATGTTAGTATTAATACAAGTCTGATCCCTCTGCGGTGCCATTGCTGGGCTTCTGGTATTCTGTAGCTAACTTAACAAGATCCCACGTTAACAGCCAGTTCAGCTGTCACTGGTGCCACACACATCCATTTTAAATCCCCTTCTGCATTCTCCAAATGGTGCATACTTCAGATCTCTGGCTTTCCATAAACCTGTGGCCCCTGAAACAACAGGCTGCCTACAAAATTCACCAAAGAAGGGGGTGAATGAAAACAAAAGGGGAGAATGAGGAGAAACAAAGGCTGAGTTTCTTTAAATTTCTGGCTCTCCACAGCACAAGCATTTTCAATTCAAAATAAAGAATTCTTTCTTCTATGTCTATTTCAGCGGGCCTCCATCTTTTGCCTTGTGAATATCACTGCATCATTATTCTGTCCTATAAGGTAAAACAAAATGTGCAACTCAACCACCAGAAATGTGCTTGTGTGGAAATGGCTCATTTAAAAGCTTTTCAAATGTTGCTGTGTTCCCTATTTTGCCACACCCCCTCGTTTTTTCAAAACTATGGAAAAGTTGTTACTTTGCACACAAGGTGTATAAATAGTGCACTCCTGGTACCACCCCACACCATAGACTTTCTCTTTCTCTCCCTTTCTTTTTATTGCCTTTAGCCTTTTGGGATTCCTGGAGTGTCTACAAATAGATTAGCCTCTAAGAATTCTGAGTAACCATGGTTAGAAAAAAACACTGGTTTAATTAGCCATGGTCCTATTTTTGAAATTACATCTGTTCTTTTTTAAAATGAGGATTGGACTATGCAAACTTCAAGAGGGTGGATTTTTTTTGGGGGGGGGGGTGGTACATGTTAGTTTTGATTTGGATTAATTTCCATGCTTTTGAAAGTGAAATCAAGAGTATTGAGTGAATAATGTATCATCATCATACATTAAACATGATCAAATGAAGAGAGCTGAAAAGAAATGATTGCAGAAAAATGAATTGCTTGAAATACTAAATCATCTGCTGTGTGCTGCTGTACTGATAGCAAATCACTCCTTGCATTTTCCTTTGCATGGCTGTACATCAGTTGTTCTTCCCCAAATCCGCAGACTTGATTAGTCATTGAAGTGATGACAAGTAAAGGGCTATGTGGCTCAGTGAAGGGTCACTGAAAATCAGAAAGCAAGCACAGAATCCATAGAATTAGATTCCCAAGGTTTGAAGACTTTCTCGATATAGTTTCTCATTTAATACTTTTTTCATTTCTGAAATAGTTGTTAAAATGGCCACAGCTGATCCTTAAGTTTAAATTTTAGCAATACTTGTCGATATCAGAACTCTTTCAGGACAACATTCTTCATTGTTTGTGATGACAATTTTCCCATGACACTTGTTATTGTATAAGTGGCTGATTTTCACTTCAAGTGAAAATCATTTGGGGTAGATGGAAAGCATTAACAAATTTAACTTCCACTGATATTAGTTCCTGGCTTCAGCATTTGTCTTTCAAGAATTCTGGATGCACATGGAAATCACAGGAAATGCACTTAATTTACTGACTCAATATAAATTACTGACTTAAAATTTACTGCCTGAAAGGATTAGGAATCTGGTGTAGCTTAGTCTAGCATCTCTATTTTAGGGTATCTAACAGAGCCTATTTAGGTGCTTCGACCAGAGTTGGACCATATCAAAGCTTGACTGGGGGTGGTATGCTTCCAGGCTCACTCACATGGCTGTTGGCAGCCACCAGGTCCTCATTGCTATGGTTGGAGACATCAGTTTCTTGCCATATGGGTTTCTTCATAGGGCAGCTCACAACATGGCATCTAGCTTTCTTCAAAGCAGGTGAGGGCAATCCAAAACAAAAGCCATGGTCTTTCTGTAACCTAATTTTGGAAGTGAAAACTGATATTTTTTTCTTTTTGTTAAAGGCAGGAGACACCACATTCAGCTCATATTCAAATTGTGGGGATTTCAAGTGGTCTGAACAGCAGGAGAAAAGGATCATACGGGGTCATCTTAAAGGCTGCCGCCATCAAATTCTGTGTTCAGATGCATAGTCCTGACATTTCCACTTAAAGTTAAAGCCCTTTGACATCACAGTTGCTGTTAAATAGCCACATCTTCAGAGGTCTAGAATTCAGATGAAGGGTTTTCAGTAAGAGATATTCCTTGGTTTTCAGTGATCTTCCATTCCCTAAAGGAAAAATGGGGATGTATATAATAGAATCATTAGCGAGGCTCTCTTGGTTTCCATTTTAATATAAAAGCAGAAATCAATTTTTAATGATAAAACCTCAAGCATTCCAGTTGGAGATAGATGTAAAATAGCACAGTTACTTTGGAAAAGAGTTTGATGGTATCTTTAAAATGTTAAATATAAATTTACCATACCAGTCAATTACTAGGCATTACTAGGCATTTACTCAAGAGAAGTGAAAACATATATCCACATGAAGACATACTTACAAATATCATAGCAGCATTATTTATAATTGCCAAGAATTTTAAACAGTATAAATGTTCACTAACTTGTAAGAAGATACACAACAAATGGTGGTATATCCATACAATGGAATACTACTCAGTGATAATAAGGAATGAAAACACTGATCCATGGTTCAGCAGGGATAAACCTAAAAGATGATGCAAAGTGAGAAAAAGGCAAAGACCATCCATTGTAAGATTTCATTTATGATGAGATGTCCAGAATACATCCATTGAGACAGAAAGTAGATTAGTGGATTCCTGAGGCTGGAGATCTGAGAATAAGGAGTAACTGCAAATGGGTATGATGGAAGCTTTTGGGGTGATAGAAATGTTTCGAAATCAGTGGTTATGGTTGCATAATTCTGTAAATTCACTGAGAATCACTGAGTTGTATACAAAGAGGTTAATTTCATAATATGTAAATTACACCTCAATAAAACTTTAAATATATTTCCAATGATCGTGGGTGAAAACAGGAGCTTTTTCAGTTTAAGTGAAATCAAGTTCAGCTATGTCAGCTTCAGGCCATCTTATTCTGTTTCCTTTTCTTCTCATCTGTCTGGAATTTGGCCTAAGATTGAATTCTAAGACCTTGGTCCCAGATCATTAAATGAAAGAAATTTGACTATATTTCTACTATGCTCCTTCTATTTTTTTTCCCCTGATTTTTCAGTCTCAGTTTCCTTTGGGTTAATTTTTAAAGGATTCTGCAACTGTTGGTTTAAAAGAATACTACCCTTTTTTTCATCAACCTTCTTTTTACCTCAGGTGGGAAACCAAGCTACTAGTGTTTGCAGAATATAATGTTCATTTTTACCTGGACTGTCTATCTGGATTAAATTTGGTTGCTGGTGGCTCACAGCTTAATCAGTCTCCAAGATTTTATGTGTTTACTTTTACCTGACAATTCTGGGAGATTGAAGGGAGATTTGGGGGTTTTCCCCAATCATTTCCAGAAGTAATTTCACTTAAAAAAAAAAGTGATCTACTTGCTTGCAGTTTAATTGCAACACATTTAAAAAACAGACTACTGTGCTGGCTAGCAACCTAAGTTAAAGTAAAACTTCCGAAGGGGCCAAGGTCTAAAGTTCGCACATTCTTGCGAGGTTTGTTCTGTTTCCACCGAGGGAGACCCCATTATCTGTAGCTCTACCAATCAAGTACATTTCCTTTTGAACTCTTGAATGAGGAAAAAGAAGTTCAAGTGAGGGAAAATGGGTTCAACTGAAGGTCAGACACCCCAAAGAGTTTTCTAGTTACTCTGTTGCCGGAATGGAAGAAGTGGGGAAAAGGGAACCAGATGTGGGCGGCCTCGGGAGGTTGCTGATTCCAACCCTGTTAGTCCTGGCAGGGAAAAAAAGGCCGGCTGGCCTTTGAGATACCCAGTGACACAGTGAGAGCCTACGGTGTGCCAGGTGCTAAGGCTACGTGGGAAACTACGGGATGCTGGTGTTCGAGGTGCTGCGTACTCAGCAAGACACAGTCTCCGCCCTGAAGACGCTCGCAATCTCTTCTCTAGACTGCATCAGGTCGGAGCAAACACCGGCTCTCCTAGCAGCCTGAGAACGATAAAAGAATACTGGGGGCGGGGGTGAGGGAAGAAACGCTTCCCCCCGCCCGCTATTCTAGGCCGGCCTCGCAGGCGAAGACAGACACGCCCTCTACGAAGGGCAGGCCCGCCTCGAGGAGGGCGGACCCGGGCAGGGCCGGCCGCTGGGCCCTCACCCGACCCCCGCGAATGCGTCCCAGCGCGGCGCCCGCTCCTCACGTGTCCCTCCCAGCCCTGGGGTCGCCTCACGTTCTGCTTCCGTCCGACCCTTCCGACTTCCGGTAAAGAGTCCCAGTCCCTGCACCTCCGTTCCTTCCCGGCCTCGCCACGCGGCACCTCTGCGTGCCCTGCCCCCGATGCGTTCGGTGGCCGCTGCACCTCGGGGCCCCGGAACAGCCATCGAGCCTCACCGCTTTGCAGCGACCAGTTGGCCCGGGCGGCGCTCGCTCCCGCGGCCGGCGCGGCGGGGCGGGCGGGGCGGCGGCGGCGGCGCGGCCCCGGGCCCGTATCACTCCGCCGCCCCTCCCCCGCCCGGCCCGGGCCCCCCTCCCTCCGGGCAGCGCTCGCCACCCTCCGCCTCAGACTGTTTTGGTAGCAACAGCAACGGCGGTGGCGCGTCCCGGCCCGGCTCCCGGCGGCTCCTCGGTTTCACCAGGCCTCCCCGCCCCTTCGTGGTCGTCGTCCTCCCCCTCGCAGGCCCGGGCGCCCCCCCGGCCGCGCCAGCCCGCGCCTCCCCGCTCGGCGCCCGCGCGTCCTCGCCGCGCTCCCGCGTCTCCTCGGCGCCCCCGGCTCCCGGTTGTCCCCGTGCGGTGTGCAGGCCGGTGTATGGGCCCCTCACCATGTCGCTGAAGCCCCAGCAGCAGCCGCAGCCCGCAGCCGCCAGTGCCCGTAAGCCCGGCGGCGGCGGCCTTCTCACGCCGCCGGCCGCCGCGCCGCCGCAACCCTCGTCCACAGTCTCGTCGTCCTCGGCCGCGGCTTCCTCCTCCTCGGCGGCGGCGGTGAGCGCAGGCGGCGGGCGGCCCGGCCTGGGCAGGTGGGTGTCGCGCCCCGGCCCCTGCTCGGCCTCGCGTCCCCCTCTCCCGCGGCCCACCCCGCCGTCCCGCTCCGTGACCCGCGGGCTTTGGGTGGGCTGGGGACCCGCAGTGGGGGTGGGGCGCCCTCCTCGGTATGAAGCGCAGGGGTTTGGGTGGGGGCGCCGTGGTCTCCCTCCGGTAATGTCAGGCCGTGGCCAGCCTTCTGCAGCATCCCCACCCCCTCCTCCAAACGGTCAAGATGGAAGGCCTGGGCCAGCTCCCCCTCTCCGTTAAGTGTTGGGAGGGGTTCTCCGGTCTCAACAATTGTCAGCCCCTGTTCCGTCGTCTTTTAGCCTCCTTCGCCCCAATGGGGGCGGGGGGGATGCTTGGGCAGTTGAAATGTTAGCGTGGAAGGGGCTTCAGGTTGTGGTTCTGTCACTTGAAACTTGCCAACACCTCCTATGGGGAACGAGGGAGGGGGAAAGTTAGGGCAGGGTTCCCCCCTGCCCATTAAAGGGGAAGCCACAGGGCTCATCTGGAATCATTAAGGTCTGTCCAGTGTCCTTAACCACCCACCGCCCTGCCTGGGAAAGATCGGAGGGCCTGGTTCAAGTGGGTGGGCAGGATCCCCACCCGCGCCCCTCCATTTAAATCTAAGCGGCGACGGGGGCTCCAGAACTCCTTCGGAATCGCCGGGGTCTGTGCAGGCTCCCGGAGCGTCGCGCCCTCCCCACCCCCCCTCCCGGCCTCCCTCCTTCCCTCGCTGGGCCTCCGGTGCGGGTGGTGGCCAATCCGCAATGCTGTTCCGAGGCAGTGGAGAAGGCGCCTTTGAATAGTGGTGGGCGAGTGCCGGACCCAGGCCTGCGTCAGAAGCCCAGGCCGGTCTGAAGCCCAGGCCGGTCTGGGGACATAACAGGGTTGGTGGTGGTGGCAGGGTGCGGGCACGCTGCGCATTTTTTCCCAATCCCCGCCCCAGTTTTTGAAATTTTGAGGGGAGAGGGTTTGCAGTAGGGGACATGGTGGGGTTCTTGAAGGCAGAAGTGCGGTGTTTGCTTACGCTGTCTCTCCTCTATCCCCATAACGTAGGTTTGCCTTGTGTTCTCATCTAACCGGGTCTGACTCTGGAGGGTGTGTTTGTGCGGAAAGGCCTGTTGGGGGTGGGGAGGGGGTAGCTGTCAGTTCGTATTTCACAAACTAAGAAAATGCTTAGTGTTCAAACGGGGCAGCAAATGTCAGTAGACTCCGTTCCATTGTGGCCAGTGTCCTTAACTTGGGGAGTGCCGCCAGAGCTCACCAAGGGCACGCAAGTCCATTTCCCCGGTGCGCCGAGCCCATCCGTGTTGCCGGCACAGCGTCGTCTCCCTTAGGTCTACCGGGGTTGGCAGGTCGGTGATGAGGGTCCTTTTTAAATGCACATTGTGGGCTTCAGAAGGTGGGATTTAGGGGATTTTCTTCATTATTATTATTTTTTAATGCACTGAGCTTTCTTTTTGAAAACAGATTTTCAGCAAACCTTTTCCGAAGAATTTTCATTATGTCAGGAGTGGTTAACCATCAAGATGAATCAGAGCTGATTTTTAAGGACTTTGCCTTCAGCGGGGCGGGGGACTTTAGTTTTTTGACTTTTACCTTACCCTCTCACCCCAACTCCCACACAGTTTCCCTCTTCTCTGAAGTAACTGCTACAAAAGCTACGTGATCAAACTAGTTTAAATGAAGTGCTTATTTTCACAGCTCATTCCACTTGGGATTCCATAATTTCAGTTCCCCCTTTTCATTGGCATCCACTGTGAAAAAATGGAAAAACTTTAAATACAATTTTTACTACTGTTTTTCCCATATGTGTCAGATAGAAATCTGGCAGACATATTCAACATACATAACTTACATACTGTTCAGATAATTTTAAAAGAAGCTTTTAAGTTGCAGGGGCTCTCGTCAAGCTTAAAATTGTAATGAATTTTTTTCAGAGTGGCTTGAGTGATCAAAAATATTTGAAACGTCTTAGTACTACAGATCTTTTTCTGTTCCTTGGGGCTTCAAAAATATTTCGGATTAATTTAGATTCCTCCTTGCTTAAATTCTTTTACTTGAGGCATAAATTGTGGCCCTTATTCTTTCTGATAAATGTGTGATGTTTTAATGTGTTAGGATATGTGAAATTTAATTTTTGTGCTGATCTTCAGTTAATGTACTGGTAGAATTCCTTTCAATTTTGAGTCACTGTTAACTGGGTTCTTTGTAAACCGGTTAAAATTTCTAGGGTTTCCTCATTTATGTTTATGGTATCAGCAGTTGAAATAAGCTTCTGGGACCAAGGGTGAAGAAAGAAAATGCAGCATTGGGTTTAGAGTTAGCAAAATATTCTTGAAAGTCTAGAAATCAGTATTTCTGCTTTAACTAGTATTTCATCATATGTGACTTTTTTTGAATATAGTGGATTTGCATGGCTTTCAAAAACTTTGTCCTCAGTTTTCATACACATTTTAGAAGGTGGCTATTTTGTCTTAGAACAGTTAACCACAGTGTTAAAGTTTGGACACATTTTACTTTAATCCAGTTACTCCTTTTGCCTTTTACCTATAATTTCTATGTAGTTTTAGTGATTGTGTTATGTTATTTTGTGCTCACCTTTTTTCTCCTTTAACACTGTATTACAGACTTTTCGGGGGGTTCTGCTTAACCATTCCATTGTTAGGATTTGGGCTTCCAAATATTTTGGCTGTTATGGATATGGTGCAGTGAACACCTTTTAAACTTAACAGCTTTTTGCTTCAGTGTAATTATTTCCTTAGGGAAAGTTCCCAGGAGTGTTTTTTCTAGGTCAAAGGGTTTCAAGATTTTTAATGGTTCTTACTAGCTGTGCCATATTACTCTTCGTAAGACTTGTGTTGGTTTCCAATGCCAAGAAGGTGGTGCTTCTATAGCAGAGTTCCTTGGTAGTTTGTCAAACTCTGTAGGGCTTTTCAAGGGAAAAGTTGCATTTACCATCAAGTGCATACATTATTAAGTATTTTTGTTAGTTACCTCATTTATATTTGAAGTTTCTCTGACGATTTAATGAAATCATATAGGTGAAGGTGCTTTGAAAACTAACTGGTAGCGGTAATGAGGATACATGGTTTATCGTGCTGATACTTCTGAATCAGTAAAGGAATGAAAGTCTTGAACTTGTTCTAAGACTTTTGGTGGTTTGTTTTGGTCTGGTTTGTTTTTTTTGTTTGATAACCTCCCTCATTCATCTAAAAGTATTTTTAATTTGCTCCTAGCCTTTGACAAGTTATTTCTGTTAACTTTTATGTAATTTCATGGCACTAATGGGAATTACTAGATAACCATATCTCTTCACCTCCACATTCCCTTTACCATTAAAAAAAAAACAGTAGGTTACAATTCTATTACCCTATTACCAATCCTAAATAATATAACATTAGAATTTCTTTGGATATAGGATTGAGTGTAAATAAAACTTTTTATTTAGAAATTATTACTAAAAATTAGTAATTTTCAGCTTAGTATTTTTATTGCTTCTTTCTCTTATGGCATTGCAACTTAGAAATTAATGCTGCACTTTAGTGTAATGTTCATCATACATTTAAATATCAGTGAGACGTTCATTTCATCTTTTTAAATCAGATATCTTCTAGAAGAATCTAGAAAAATCTAGTCATTCAACACATAAATTTATTGAAAAGTCTATGTACAAAGCAGATGTAGGTGCTTGGGATGGATTCATGAATAAAACAAAGATAGCTGCCCTCCTGGTGTTTACTTCTAGAGTGATGAACCAAAGAGCCACTAGATTAGCAAACTATAATAGTAGCTAAGAGCTATGGTATTAGAGGAGAGGGGATTAAGGGTATACATAATATGGACTGTGGGGTAAGGGAGTGGGATGCAAATTTAAATGGGTTAGAGGAATTCTTTGAGAAGGTAACATTTCAGCAAAAAGTGGAAGGTGATGTAGTTAGTGGTTTGCTTTTTATCTAGATTAATTAGCCTTAATGGCCGCATTTGTAATTTGTAAGGTTTAAACTGCATCATCCTTTGTTAATCATTGTTTTATGTGGGTATTGATAATAACCAAATTAGAAGTTGAACCAAAAAAGTTAGTTGACATTTAGGTCATTAGAAATAAACAGATAGCTGTTAAAAAAAGGTACCTTTTTGGTTTTCTGTTGTGTTTAATTTACTTTGATTAGTTTAACTTACATTCCAGGTACTTAGAGAAAATACACTTTTTAGGATTGGGCAAAAATCTACATCAGATTGCTTATCTTTGTCAAAGCCTATACTTGCCTAAAGATTCTGCATTTTGAAAAGTCAAAACATTCATGGCTATTAGTCAAGCTTTCCTTTTTTGGTTAAATGTAAACTTGTATTTTCTGTGTTTCTCTAATTAGAGAATTATCATTTTACACAGGGGAGAGGGGCATGTTAACTCTTAGAGCTATTTAATAGCCATATGTTTTGACTTACAGGAGGTTTCTTTTGTCCTAAACACCTACAGCTGTATTACAACTTACTTTCACCATAGCAAAATGTGTTTTTATACCTTGGATTTTAAATGTTTAGAAGATTTTTTTCTTAGAATTGTAATTTTCTGTTTGGCTAGATTGTAGTTGAGTCTAAACAAAACCCCGTTTTTGTAGATATTTGAAATGACTGTGACAACAGTCAGTGGAGATGTAAATAGGGTATATCAACAGTCCTACCTGCTACTTTTATCTTTTTAAGTGAAAGTATTTGGTGGATGTTTTTTTTTGGTGGAGGTGGGGAAGCATATCTTGGTCATCTGTACCTGTTAAACATACTAAGATTTTAGGAGGTTGATACGATGGTCTTCTTAGCAAGTGTGTTACTGAAATAAAAGTAGAATGCTCTTCTCTGAGGTCTTTTTATCTCCTTAGATGTTAGATGGACTTCAAAATAGGAATGCTTTTAGTAGAAAATGTACTCATCGAGTATGAAGATGGTATCAAGCCATTGAAAGGTGGTAGCAGCAAAATCTAGAATTTGT